GGCTTCGTCTGACATACTTTGGACATGTTGCCAGGAGGGACGGGTCCTTGGAGAGGGACATCATGCTTGGGAGGATTGAGGGACAACGCAGGAGGGGAAGACCCTCTATGAAATGGATTGATTCCGTGACTGGGGTAATTGGGATGGGTGTGTCAGAGGCAGTGCGGCTGGCGCAGGATAGAGCAGGGTTTAGGGCTGTTGTGCATAGGGTCGCTATGAGTCGGAAACAACTCGAAGACACATAACAACAACTCAAAATTGTGTTGGATGTTTTGTTGTTGTTGGTTTTAAATTAACTTCTTAGTGTGTTAATTTTCTCAGCTGTAAAATTAATATAGTACTAGTTGTTGTTTATTGCTTTCAAGTCAAGAATAACTCATAGAGACAGCTATTCTGTAACTGTTGTCATTTCTCCAGGTTCATAGAGTTTCAAGAGACATGTGTTTTCAGAGTCATGTGGTTTAGGAAGAGGATGCCACTCCTGCTCCCAAACCCATGTTTATTACAGCTTTGTTCACAATAGCAAAGAGTTAGAAACAACCTAAGTGCCCATCAACAAACAAATGGATAGAAAAGCTGTGGTATATTCACACAATGGAATAGTATACTGCATTGAAAAACAAGGAACTCATGAAATATTATTCAGAATGGGTAACCCTGGAGGACTTTTTGCTGAGTGAAATATCTCAGTCACAAAAGGACAAATACTGCATAGTGCCACTGCTGTAAAATGGGACTGACATCAGGGTTGGGGGGACACTGAGAAAGATGGGATAAATTATGTACACTGCATTGAAACAAATGAGGGAGAGAACTGTTTAAAAGGGGTATGTGATTAGGTATTATTGTCATGACAGGAGTCCAGCTGCATAGTGGAATGGACTTGGGGGGAGGGATTGTATAACAATGAAAGAATGTTTTCTTTTACTTTCCTAAGAGAAGAGTGAACTGCAGGGGAGGGGGAGGCAGGAAGAAAAGTGCAACAATGAATGAATAAAAATCCAAAGTTTCTGTACATTTTCATTAAAATTAAAAATAATTAAAAAAAGAAAATATTTGTTAAAAAACCCTTTTAAACAGGGAGGGGGGAAAAAACCTAGGAGCTCCACCAAACACTGTCCACCATGGGAAGCCATTATGGCATTTGACCTCCAATGGCACAAGGTTCGGCTTCACAACAAACTCAAATTATCTTAGTACAGCAAATTGGAAGAAGATTGCTGTACAACTTAGAAGAATATATAATATAGATAGCATAGCACAGTACCTGGTATTCATTATCTTCAAGTTGTTATTAATAGCCCTGTTTGAGTTTCATTCTCTCTACACAGAGCTAAAGTGATTTTCTTAAGCACTGTTGTTTATTTAGGCACCCTAATCTTTTCTATTTCTAGAAACTTCTTTTTTCCATCTGTTTCCCAGATTGTGAACTTGACTCTAAATATAGTCTGCATAAACATCATCTTTGTGAAGCTATCATGAATTTGACATCTCCGTGGTGATTTTTGCCTCCTGCTCCAGTACAGCTTGTTGTCCTGTGTGTACTCTATGCAAAGTTGTCTCTTTATTCTCTCAGCTGCACCTAGCCAAGCTGTTTGGCTCTTTCTATCATTTATTCTTTTTTTAAAAAATAAGTAAAAATAGGCATTCCTTTAGACATCTTAATAAAAATGAATTTTTTTTGTCTCCTAGGAAGAGGCCTCAAAATAAAATGAAGAAATCTCCAGTGGGCAGCTGGCGTTCCTTTTTCAATCTGGGTAAATCATCATCTGTTTCGAAACGGAAGCTCCAGAGAAATGAGAGTGAGCCGTCTGAGATGAAAGCCATAGCGCTGAAAGGTCAGTACAGTGTGCAGAGTGGCTCACAGTCCGTTCTTGTGTCCCATTGAGTCAGAAAGGCTCTTAGCTGATCCTACAGTGGGTTTTTAGAGTCAGTACATTGCCCAGGAGGAGATTCCCCATCCTTCTCCCTCAGAGCATCTGGTATATTTGAACTGCATGCCTTTTGGATTTCAGTGCAGGTTCTTACCAATAGGCCACTAAAGTTCCCTAGCTCTTCTTACTCTAATCAGTCATAATAGGCAGTATTTTCCTATTTATGAATTGTCATCTTTGACCAATTCTTTATCCTCTACATGCAAAGAACTATAAATAAATTCTATTTAAATATTTGGACAATGAAATAAGGAAGACCATAGAAGAATTGATGCCTTTGAATTGTGGTATTGGTGAAGAGTATTGAATATCTCGTGCACTATGAAGAGAAGCAGATCTGTCTCTGATGAAATGCAGTCAAGGTGCTCCTTAGAGGCCCAGATGGGAAACATCATTTCACATACTTTGAGTATGTTGTCAAAAGGCACCAGTCCTTGATAAAGGACATCATACTAGGAAGAGTACAGAGTCAGTGAAAGAAAGATTCTCATTGAGATGAATTAACACAGTGACTGTAGCAGTGGATTTGGATATGGTGAAGATTTGTGGATGGCACAAGACAGGGCCAGGTTTCAGTCTGTTGTTCATAGGATCACTATATGATATTGTATTTCATGTATGACTCATAGCAGCCCTATGAACAGCAGATCTGAACCCTGTCCTATCCTGTGCCATCTTCATCATCTTTGACATACTTGAGCCCAGTACTATAGTGGTCATTGTATCTGTCCATCTGATTGAGAGGTTTCCTCTCTTTTGCCGACTACTCTCCACCTTCCCAAGTGTAATTTCCTACTCCTAGGAATAGCCTCTCTTAGAAACATGCCTGAAGTATGTAAGACAAAGCTTTATTATCTTTCCATACTTGTTTGTTGTTTTGACAGTGTATGCGATATTCAGCACTCTTCTCCAATAGCTAAAAGGCATCAATTCTTCATTTGCCATCCTTATTCTCTATTAGGCACTCAGATTGAAAAGAGGTCTTCATAAGGTCACTCTGAGTTATAATCAACTAGATGTTAGAATGACGAAGCTTCATCTTCCATACTTTGGACAAGTAGCCAGGCAAGGCTATTCATTGGAGAAGGACATCGTTCTTGGATGGGTGGAGGGGTCAGTTAAGGAGAGGAAAGACCCTCAGTGAGATACATTGACACTTTGACTTCACTAATGGGGTGGAGTGTTTAGGAGATGGTGAGGCTGGCACAGGACGGGCAAGGGTCAGGTTGGCTGTTCATAGGGTTGCTATGAGTCATATTTGACTTGATGGCACCTAACAACAATAACAAATAAGTGAAAGTGATCAACATATTAGGGAAACTATATAGATGGCATATGCTGTGAACATGGTTAAAAATTCATAGCGTATCTGTAACATAAACTTTATATTGTTATCAAGTAAATATACTAGTATGGTATTTAAATTTTTTGACATTTCTTTTTACAGATTTTTTAAAATGATATAACCATGTTTCAAGACACTTTCCCAGTGTACAATTGTTAACTCACAAAGAAGCTAAATAAGTCTTTCTGGATCAAAGAAATTCATTACTGTTGTTGAAAAAGTACTCTTTTTTTTTTTATTTAGGTTGTTTATTTTTCATTTCAATGAACATCTACAGAGATTTTGGGATTCCATTCATTCATTGTTGCACCCTTCTCCCCGCACAA